AGGCCGGTTATATTAGGGTATTTATACTCTCCTTGAACGACGTCGTTTAAGGGAGAGACCATTTTCGTAATTTCACGCGTGGGTAAATTATATCCTCAGTCACTGTAATTTTAGAACTTTGCAATTTAATCCCGAAAAGCATGTTTCTGTTTATTTTAATTCGATACTTGAATTTTAATTTATTATATTTTAGTCCCTATTATGCTTTTTATATATTTTAGGTAAAATAATAGATTTAGCCCCTGTAATTTTAATAATTTATATTTTTACCCCAAATAATTAATTAGGTTAAATTAAACTATTAATCCTTAGACTACATAATATTTTGAATTAGGTTGTTTAATTTTAATATTTTATGTTTTAATCCCTGATAATTTAAATAATTTATATTTTAGACCATAAATTACATTATTTATTATTATTATTTAATCCTATATATATATATATATATATTTTAAAATATTTATATCTATATTTTAATATTAAAAATGATAATATTTATTTATATTAAGAAAGAGGTTGTCTTAAAGTAACTAGATGTCATTTTCTGATATTTTTAAATAAATAAAAATCTTACTTATAATATATATATATATATATATATATATATATACTTTAATTTTATATAAATTATTTTTAGGAAAAATTATCATATTTTTATTAATATTTATTTAGTTTTTTAATATTAAGAAAGTGTCTGTCTTAAAGTAACTAGATGTCATTTTATGATATTTTTAAATAAATAAATATCTTATTTATAAAAACCTAAAATATATATATTTACTTTAATTTTATAAAAATTATTTTAATATATTTTCTTAGAATTATCCTAATAAATTTGAAATAACAGGATTATTAATTAAATATATATTAGAATTCTCAAATTTCCAATAATAGAGACAATTTATAAATGATAGGTACCAATTTTGGGCGTTATAGGGGTGTTAATCATTCCCTAAATGTAACCGACCACGAATCTCTTTTTATTACTAAAAATGAATTTTTGGTTATACACATACATGTTTATCTTTTAAATTATGTTTCCTTAAAAACTATTTTAAAAAATTGTTTTTAAGTATTCGACCTACCTAACCCAAAAAGGTCGATGGTGACTCCTATTTTTTTTTATAAAAACCATTTATTTATTCACTTTACTTTTCCCACCAAGGAAATTCGTACCCGGGCGAAAACCGGTTCGACAGCTTGGCGACTCCGCTGGGGACTGGTCAAACCTAAATCAATTATAAATTGTCTCTATCAATTAGAAATTAAGAATTTATATTTATTTAATTTATAATTCTGTTATTTCAATTCTTTATTATCTATTATTTTTATATATCTTTATATACTAATATTTTTATTTTATTTGATTTTCATATATTAGGATTCATTTTTATTGGTTGTTTGTCAAAGGTTTGAGAATTTCTCCTCACACACAACACGTGCATTGCATAAACATAAGCTCTATACTTGAGCTCTTTTCCCTTTTAAATGGGAGTGAAAGCGACATCTTCGTGAGATTTTTTTCTCTGTGTTAGACCTAGTAAGTAGCTTTCAGGGTTCATATGCTCTATATCTTCGTGAGAATTTATTTTTCGTGTCAGGCATAGAGAAATGTGCCCTGGAATTGAACTCGATCCGTTTAAGTCTGTAATGGACTAGGATTGAGGGTTTGGCAGCCCAAGAGGGCACCAACAAGGACAATTCGAGTACTTTTACTCATAGAACTGAAACTCCGCATATAGTAAACCCTAGAAACCCTCCCGATCAGAAACCATGCCGAAATTTTGTCCAAAATAGGTGTACAGAAAGGAGAAATGAATTCTAACTTTTTCCTTTTAATTTATTTAATTTTTTCTGAATAAATGCATGTGAATTAGAAATTATGTGAATTAGGGATTATAGTATTATTTAAAGTATGTTATATAAAAAACATGTTTAAATAGAAATGTTTGGGTAGACATTATTATTAAATTAAATTTTCTTTCTTTATTATTTGAACTAATTCATTTCATTTTTATGTTTTTTCTTCTTTTATTTTTGCTATTTGCATGGCATCATACAGGATTGAAGGTATTGATCTTCGAGTTAATCGTCTCATTGGAAAACATTCATCAATGGATAAAAAGTATTCGAATCAAATAGTTCCAAACTCGGAAGTAAGACAGTGGTCTGAAGAATTGCAAAGACAAGTGAGAGACAGTTTGCAAGATGATTATGTACCAGATTTAACAAGTTATGCTCCAGTTTCTCTCAAAAGGAATGATATTCAAGACCTGCGAGGCATTTGGGAGAACAGAGATTCAAATAAAAAGATGCAGTTTTACCAGTATTACGGGGACATTCTGTATTTGCTATATGTTGAAGTTGATGATGAATTTCTACGAGCCTTGATTCAATTCTGGAATCCATGATATAATTGCTTCACTTTCAATAAAGAGGACATGGTTCCTACTATTGAAGAATATACAACATTTGTAATACCCCCAACCCGTACCCGACCTGGATACGAGTCCGAAGTGTCACATTTACTTTTCAAACTTTGACTCATGAAAAAACTCGAGAAAATTTAAAACTTTCATTAAAGTCACAGCGGTTTGTTTAACTCAATCAATTAGTACATGCCAACTATATTCAATATACATAATACATCTAATTCAAGACATATTTTCTGATCTGATCTTCGGTAAGAAGTAACTGACCGGTCTTGCTCCTCTTCACTTTTCTTCTAGCTTTCCGGAACCTACGTGTGAAACACTCACACGCTAAGTCGATGACTTAGTGAGGTATAAAAACATATAACCACTACTAATGCATTCATAATCTATACTTATTATATCATACAAAATCATACATTCTGTCATGCAACCACTATCCACTTGTACACACACATCATTCACATATTCTTATAACAGGTTTCATAGAACAAAACGTGTAAATCATATGTAAGGTATTTATTATTATCTCTTTATTAGTCTTATTTTCGTTCTTTATCTTTTTGTCATATATTCTTGCATCAATTCCTCTTAACCAAGCTATATACACATCATCATATCACATATATCACTTCACACCATAAAGATGACAAACCAATCACATACTATCATGCAAGGTTCTTTTATATTATTTCCTTTATTAGCCCATGTACACATGTGAGAACCATAGATATGTGAGTCTATAGAGGTTGTGCACTAATGCTGTCACCACAGCTCGTATAATTGCACCGAAGTGCCACATAGAATTGCACCGTAGTGCCATATAATAATGTCCATAAGGACCACATATCATTCCTTAAGAATCATATACATATACTAGGGATCAAGTATGTGTCTCACAAGACTTCACACATGTTCCAAAGAATATATATATATCCCGAAGGACCGCGTAGACCCTCGACTCTTGGCATGCCAACTATACCCCAAAGCTCTCAAGACACATAACATGGGCATTAATATTTATGTTAACATACATTCACATATAAACATAGTCCCCTAGTTCTTTCACATAGCTCATTGTCATATAAATCACATATCACATATCACATATACATATAGACACATGATTCACTTACGCGTAGAACATTTTCATATGATTCACATATCACAAAGCTTATCATATATAATTGTATTCTTTTCCATATAATCACATAATCATATAATATTTCATATGACATATACTTTCTCTTTCATATATCTCATGTGATTATAAACATTAACTGTAATTTTCGTCCATCGACGTTGACGGCGACATATGGCTGTCGACCGGCGATCGGATTCCCTCTGGTGAGGGAATCCTATAGAGAAGGGAGAGAGATTTATGTCTCTCTCGTTTAGAGAGAGAATGAGAGAGGAAAGAATGAAAAAATTGGCCTTAAGGCCAGTTATATTAGGGTATTTACACCCTCCCTTGAACGACGTCGTTTAAGGGAGGGACTATTTACGTAATTTCGCGTGTGGGTAAATTATATCCTCAGTCACTGTAATTTTAGAACTTTACAATTTAATCCCGAAAAGCATGTTTCTGTTTATTTTAATTTGGTACTTGAATTTTAATTTATTATATTTTAGTCCCTGTTATGCTTTTTATATATTTTAAGTAAAATAACATATTTATCCCCTGTAATTTTAATAATTTATATTTTAACCCCGAATAATTAATTAGGTTAAATTAAACTGTTAATCCTTAGATTACATAATATTTCGAATTATGTTCTTTAATTTTAATATTTTATGTTTTAATCCATGATAATTTAAATAATTTCTATTTTAGACCATAAATTACATTATTTATTATTATTATTATTTAATCCTATATATATATATATATAAATATTTATATCTATATTTTAATATTAAGAAATGATAATATTTATTTATATTAAGAAAGGGATTGTCTTAAAATAACTAGATGTATTTTTCTGATCTTTTTAAATAAATAAAAATCCTACTTATAATATATATATATATATATATACTTTAATTTTATATAAATTATTTTTAGAAAAAATTATCATATTTTTATTAATATTTATTTATCTTTTAATATTAAAAAAGAGGTTGTCTTAAAGGAATTAGATGTTCTTTTCTGATATTTTTAAATAAATAATTATCTTATTTATAAAAACCTAAAATATATATATATTTACTTTAATTTTATAAAAATTATTTTAATATATTTTCTTAGAATTATCCTAATAAATTTGAAGTAACAGGATTATGAATTAAATATATATTCGAATTCTTAAATTTCCAATAATAAAAACAATTTTAACTGATATGTATCAATTTTAGACGTTATAAAAGTTTTAATCCTTTCTTAAACGTAACCGATCACGAATCTCTTTTATTACTAAAGAAATAAATTTTTAATTATACACAAACATGTTTATCTTTTAAATTATGTTTTCTTAAAAACTATTTTAAAAGATTATTTTTAGATATTCAACCTACTTAACCCAAAAAGGTCGATGGCAACTCTCAAATTTTTTTATAATAACCATTTATTTATTCATTTTACTTTTCCCGCTAAGGAAATTCGTACCGGGGTGAAAACCGATTACGAAATTCCTCGACACAAGAAACATATAAATCCTTTTACATCAAATATCAGTACATGCTTTGATCACTAAACACAATAATTTCTCAAGTGAACTATCACCATCAATGCAGCTCTTCACATAAGAGCCTTGAATGAAACCATTCGACAAGACAAAATTACCTACGAACAGATGGCACAGCACCCCTACCACCTATCGTGCCACGCCCAGCAGCTTGAGCCTGTAAAACCAAAAAGGAAATGAAATCAAATTTCGAAAAATTAAGCTAACAAACCAAGGAAATTTATAAATTAGATGAGCGAAAAAGGGGAAAATTATTCTTGGTTTGTCTTAATTATGGACAGGTGAACTTACTTTGGCTCGCATTGCAACAGCTCTACCTCTGCCAACACCTAGAGATGAGCTCTTACCCTTGAAGAAGTTATGAAACAAAGTCAGAGTTCTTCAAACAAGAGCACAATGTAAGAAAAGTGGTAATTTGCAAGTAGATACATACCTTGATTTTAGCATCTAGGCGTTTAAACATAGGAGCATTCTTCAACATGTCAGGTATGACCATAAACCTGTCAAAATATGCTCACCATTCAATAAACAAATAAGGTATGCCTGATTTGAATATAACTGCAAGATGGTGAGGAAAATCTGATCCCTAATAAACAAACTTTAAATAATTAAATTAAACTCGGTGTTCCTGCATCACTGCAGACCTATCACCATCAAAAGCTGCACACTAAAAACAATGAGACATGCTCAAACAAGGGGACGGGGACATGATACCTGACTTTACTGCCTCGGATGAAAACATGTTCAAGCTGTGATACCTTTCCATCCTGTAGCCAAGCAAATCCATCAGCTTAAAATCAGTTACACGTAGAGGTGAACTATGAGAGTAAATAAAAGCACCTTCAGCCAAAGGGAATAACAAGTTTTTGATAATGTTTACTTTTGAAAAAAGGTGATGAAAGAAAATGCACTCGAATCACAATGAAATTTCTGAGAAAGAACCATGATTCAATTAAATACTAATTTCACTCAAACAACGTTTAATTAGTTGTATTAAATAAAGAACAATGATGCAAGAAGTTGGGAACTGAAATGATTCATTAAATCAGTTAACAACCAGACATTTGCATAATAATCTAAATAGAATCACACAACAGTCGATAAGAACAATCCACGAGCAAACTCGAATATAGAAGAGAGAGATTGCAGAGAAACACCCTCAATTTTCAAACCCTAGAAACTTCATCCTTCCCTCCCCCTCTCTCCTGAGGATTAACCCGCTTATAAACTTAAGTCCAGGGTTCCAGCACGCAATGCCTAAATCTAACATCAAATACTTAAGGTTCATCACTAACTGAACATAAACCCTAAATCCCTAAGATCCAAACTAAATTAATAAATCAAACTCATTACTGCAACACTAAAGAAAAAGGAAGAGATGTACTTTAGCGGTGTAGGTAATGTTCTCGAGCTGGCAATTCCAGTTATCCTCGCACTCGACCATGCCTCCTCTGTAAAGCTCCCCGCTCTTAAGCTCCACCGTTACCACGTGGCCCGACGACTCGTGTAGTAGCTTCACCGGTATGCCTAAGCTCCGGCTCATTGTATCTTTTTCCTTTTACCTTTCTTTCTCGCTAGTTCGCTCTGCTTTCGGACGAATCGCAAACCCTGGCACCGGGACAAATAAATTTTGCCCTGCGAGTGCGAGTGGTTTAAATCGAATGATTAGGGCTAGAATTGTAATTCTCCACATATGGTGAGGTCAAGTTTAAGGAGTTCAGTAGGTTATATGGACGCAGCAGCGCCGTCGGTTTATCTCTCAGAATAGGGCTTAACTTAATATCGATACTTTATGTCTGGTGATTTTACTTTTTAAGACATTGAAGTTAATCTCGGTATTGATATCTTATTGAGATATTGATATTAGGTGAAGAGCATCAACATCTTCGATAAAATATTGATATTTTAATTCTATTTTTAGAAGAAATTATCCAAATAAACCTCCTTTTTAATCTTCAAAATTATCTAATACTAAATAATGCGTAAATGAAAATAATAAACATAACGTAGAAGATTAAAAAAATTATAAATAATCTTTAAATAAATGTACCAACTATTTATGTATGTGATGCAATAAGATTTTGATTGTGTGAAACTAAAATGCCCTTAGAGGTGGGGATGTATCAATTTATATCTAACATTGTCAATATTTTTCTATGCGACCTTATAGACACTAACTTAATCAACGGCCATGTGTTGTATGTGAAGACTATTTAAGCACTCAATATTATTTATATGTATATCTGACCATGTATGGTGAGGGTAGTTGATGAGCTCCCGGCTTTCTTTGTAATGACATGGGTGGAGATACAATATATATTAGCGGTCAAGGAGGCGATACACCATATATTAATAGCTTGAAATGTGATACACTATATTATATAGCCCTCTAAACGAACACGAACGAGAGTATGTTTATATTTGTTCGTTTAACTTTAAGCGAATAAACGAACAAACATAAACAACTAAATGAACGGAATTTATTGTTTATGTTCATTCATTGAGAAATTTAGCTTGTTTTGTGTTCGTTCATGTTTGCTCGTTTAAATGATAAACGAACACAGACAAACGAACGTAAACAAACATAAACGAACGAACGTAAAATTAATTGGATTTCTATTTGAGAAGAGTTTTTTTTTCTTTTCAAATGATTTTAGGATTTATGTTTTCTTTAATTGATTTGAGTATTTTTTATTTGGGTTTAAAATTAATTGGGTTTAAAAATATTAATGGGTCTAAGGTTGAAATTTATTAAGTCTTTATATTTCAAACGGTCTGGATAACATAAACAAACGAACATAAACGAACGGATTATCGAACATTCATGAATGCAAATGAACGAATGAGCATTTTGTTTGGGTTTAAAATTCAAAGGTCTTAAAATATAATTAAACTTTTGCGGGCGGCAAAACTTTTATTACAAATTTACAATGATTTTAAAACTACTAGTGCTCTAAGAGGTATTTGGACATCAAAGTTTGGGGGCCATTACCCCTCTCACCTATAATATGAATCCGTCTTGCGTGGACATCACTTGTATACTCGACAAATAGTAGATCACGACGATTGTATCTATAATATAATAAAATGTACCTGAGGACCAGCAATGAGGAAACACTAATGGGACGAGGTCTATGATATGATGATTGTGAAATTCTTGTATGGTTGATTGTTTGACTTGTTATTCAATGCTTGCTCAAAGATGTCATGCTAGAGTTTCACTAGAAAGTTTTACACAACTTGCTATAGATTTCAAATACGTGAAGAAGAATGATTTAATATGAAATACGAAAAAAATTGAAATCTGGATGATATTGCGACCATAATAATAAATAGGATGCAATTTAATTGTATAGAAGATGCGGTCAAGTCATTAAGAAGGATAATTTGATCATGGAAGTATATATATAAATATCTGTTCATGTTAGAATGAAATTATTACATGCATAAGTGAAAAATTTGATACGTGTGCCTTAAATTGCATGTTGATTGTTGATATGCTTTATCTACATAGATTTATCTACTTCAAATGATATAGTAGAGTAGTAATGCACCATTACGTTTCATAAAACTAGAGTTCGAATTGTTTTCATGCATAGGTTACAACATGTCGTTCTAATATCAAAATAAAATGTTCCTTAATCTCAAATAAAAGAAATAAATTAAGTAGAATAGTGAGAGTAAAGGTCGATCTACAGGGACTATGAGACTGATGAATTCCTCACTCTTGATTTTGATTTTGGCGTGATGTGTAAAAGAAAATAAAAGGAGAATTTTGAGAGTTGGAAAAATATGAAAGAAAAATAAGAAAGTAAACTAACTAGATTTAAGTGAACTTCAATTGGTGAAAATCAGCCTTGGGCTAAAGCTTCTGCCTCAATTTAAATTGATCATTGAATAGAATTTTACCTCCGAGCTCACGCCAGTTATAGTCTACAGGGCCCAACCCCTGTAACTTGTTTTTCTCTCAAATGAATCGAGTATCTAAAATTAATTTTTAGATCTCAACTCTTTCTGAAATCAATTGCGACAATCGCTTACTGATTCAACACCTTTAAATTTTGGAAAAACTCAACTCGAATTTTATCGTCTAAATGGAGAATCTAACCCAATTCCAGTTTCCCTTAATGGACCGCAGCTAAGTGTTTTCATTGGAAGTTGAAAATGCCACAGGCCGATCTTTCCTCCCAACTATTAATCAAAATCGAAATTTAATTCCAATTTGTACTTTTTGAAATGAAATCGTTTTGATTGTAAAAGGATGGTCAATTACCGTTCCTTGATTTCCGAAAATAGAAAATGTTACCCTGAAGGGTATGAAGCGCTTTTCGATTCTCACTACTTAGAATCGAGTCATTGCTTTAGCCTTTGGCTATGGAAAACTTAGCTAAGCATAGTAGAAACCATACTTAGCATTTTTGAAAGAAAATAAAGTAAAAATTAGAAAGGAAAATAAAAGTGAAAAGAAAAAGGAAAACTTTTATTAAACTAAAGAAAGAAAGAAACAAGAGAGTTTGAAAATGATTCGAAGATCCCAATGATGATTTGAGGCTTACCCCAATGGGGTATTTATAGTCCTCAAAAACCCTAAGAAAACATATTTAAAATTAAACAGATAATTCCTAAAAGTAAATCCTAATTTGAATTCAAAAAATGTGACTGAGTCTCCTTCTTCACGCAAGTTGCTGACTATATACCTTCTAGAAGTTGCTGACTGGACTCCACATCAGCAAAGTCATGCCCACTAATTCGGCCATGAATGCAGAAAATAAAAAATTGCACAATTTCATCAGTTTTAACAACATTTCTGGAATCTATTGTCCTGCATTGAAAATGAATGAAAAGGGTCAAGTTAGCAACTTAAAATAACTAATCAAGGAGTAATTAATCACAAAATAATATATAATTTAAGCACTAATCAAATTTCCCCTCACTTATTCAATGCTTGTCCTCAAGCTTTTCTCATTTATCATGCTAAAAATCTCAAGTAGTCAACTCCAATTTTATAGAATTTCTAAGGTTTCTAAGCAAACTCAATCAAGCAAATGTCAAAATTCAAAAGCAATCAAGCAAGACATAATCAATTTAGTGTAAATCAACCATGGCATTTCATTCATCCATCAATCTCAAATAATACAAGACTTAGTTCCTCACATGGGTTCACTCATTTCGCTCAAGTGTTTCGGGTGAAAGAATCGCTCAAGCCTAAACTAATCGACACATTTTCATAGGCTTGTAACTAGATCTTATTTTCACTAATTAAAATGAAAATGATGCAATAATCAAGAGGTCTTTAGATCGGATTGTAACGGGGCTAATTCAAAAATTCAAGACAAGGAGAAAATCATTCTGAAGATTTATTCAAAGGGAAGAAAAAGATTAAATAAAGGAGAGACAAGAAATTCAACAAAGTTTTATTCACTCTCTTTTTTTTTCTTTTTTTTCTTTTTTTTTCGAATCTATTTTTTTCTCTGCTCGAACCAAATTGTTTTTCTACACTGAATTTTCTGCTCATTCGAATCAAAACTGTACTGCTTGAAAATTTCTACACTGTTCCAACCAAACTGCACTGGTTTTTTTACTGTTCGAACAGGGTAATTTTCGGACTGTTTTGTTCGATTCTGCACTGTATTTTTTCGAACAGTTTTTCTGATTTTTTTCTCGAAATAACCTCACCTTGTCTCGAAAAAAAGGGTAACAAAAAGAGGGAAAACAAAATAGGTTCGGGTTTAAAAATGTGGCAAATCAAAGAAAAGGATAAGACTCAAAATGGTTCACTAAGGGGAAAATAAAATGTGGACTATTTGTTTGGGAGGAGAAATGGGTTTAATCCTAATGCCTCTATCACATCAAAACATCATAATCAAAAGTATAGTCTCAACAAGCATCGAGTTCTAGAATGTAATCAATTAGTTCGGCACACTCAATTGAAACAAAGAACAAGAATAAAAGATATGCTCATTAGGCTTAAAGCTCACATGAAAAGCTTATTAAACTAAGTCATGCTCCAAATCAATCAATGAATTCATGAAATTACCATGAAAATTTTACCTAAACTAATCATGCCATGCTATTTTACATCCTAAATTCAACAAGAACATGATTCATTTCACAAATAAACACAAGGAAATTAAATCAAACTAAAGATCGGCAACCAAGATCATCAACAATTCAAATCAAGAAATAACTCAATTTCAATCACAAAGAATAATCAAGAGTTAACTTGATTTCTAATTCTATCCCTCACTTAAAATCATATTGCCCGAATATGAACAAAAATTAAAATGCAAAAGGGTGAAAATATTATCCGATTAATGTCGGCCACGGTCACGTCGTGAAGGTTTCGGGCGTAGGTAGGAGAGAATCTCGGTAATGTTGGTTTCGATTAAGTCAAACCGGCTATACACCTCGTGGATTTCACTGTGCACATTTGAAGGTGGGTGCTCCTCCGGTGTCACGGGTTATGTAGTCCTCCGAATAAATACGCGCTCATTGCGTGGGGTAATCGTGCCGGTAGGAACAATGTTTGGCGCATTGGGAGTTCCAACGAGGAGTCCCATCGATTCCAAACACCTAGCATCCAAATGATCAATTGCAAAGGCATAAGTAAATTGATTATAATCAAATGTCAACGAAAATAAATGAGATGCAAGGCGAGTAATGTAGGACTGAGAATTAATGGAC